AAGTATATCTGGAATTTTAGTACTTGCAACCATGTCTTCAGCCAGAATTTTGGAGGCTGAGGTAACAAGTGGCTTGTGTTTTGCAGTCCCTCCAGGACGGCGCAGTTGTGCAGGCTGTTTTCACACCAAACGAGGTCAGCACAGTGTTTCATTACACAAACACAGGTCTGAGCTCTTTCTGAAATAATTTCTGCCCAGCAGGTAGAAATAAAGCTGAGATTGTTCTCGGGCACCTCTAATTTCTGTGCCAAGCAAAGCAAAGCTCCAATAATGAATACTCAGCATCTCATGGCATTCTCCTAACTATGCTCAGAGCAAACATGGGAAACATTTATTTCTGCAATTGGATCTGAAAACCCTTGCTATATTTTCTTAAAAGCTAGCTTCAGATAGATCACACCGGGACTGGCAGTCCTTGTCCCCAGGATGGCTCAGTGTCCTCCTGCAAGAAGAGGTGAGGTACCACAGCTCATAGGACTGCTTAAGAGATATCCAAGCTTGCGTCACATGCAGTTGGAGACTTGTTTACGTCTAGTAAACTCAGCAGCCTAGGCAGACCTGTTGCAGACATTTATAATCCGTGTCACCAGGCTATGCAAGCCCTGTCCAAGAATGGGGATGCAGCAAGTCTGGCTTGGCAGAACAGGCTGTCCTCTGCCCTTCTCAGCCTGTTATCCAGGTCCTTAATCAGAGTATGATATCATTGCTTTGCCCCACTCTAGATTTATCTTTAGCAGAAGAATAGCATGACTGTGTCACAAATGCATTGAGATAAATGTGCTGTTTATCACTAGAAATTTGATTCAGGCCTTTATGCCTCATGAACATCACACAATCTCCAAGCAAATTAAAGAAATTCCAGGTAAGTCTCCATGGCACCCCCTATGCAGCTAGCTAGCACTTACTGATCTTAGGAGGCATTTGAAAGTTCTGCAAGAATGTAAGGCCCCACTTTTATGTATATTTTAAATATACCGTATGTTTGATATCCTGCATTAAGTTTGCATTTCCACTATGCTAATACTCTAAGTAATCTCCATTTTTCACTCACAATTTACATTACTGCTGAGTCTCTTACAGTATTTTTTTTAAAGTTCAACATGTGCTTAATCCAATGAAGAAAGGAAGGTCAAAAGAAACTAAGCAGCTTGCTGAAGATCCCTGAAAAAAAAAAAGGTAACAAAACCCAGGTGCCTCCACATCGGCTCAGCACTCTTAAAAAAAACACTCATTCATTTTACAATCCTTGAAAGGTCAATGCCACAAAGAGTTTGCAAAGAGAAAATAAAAATATATATACACTAAACACTTTGCACACCAAACCTAAAGGTATATAGAGATCTTAAAGGCCTGAATAAAAACAGTATCACTTGTTGACCATCAGAAACTGATGTGACTCCACAGAGGGAAGTAGTACTACACACCCCTTGTCTCCAAATCCCACGCTGATAGACTAAGCCTGATGGGGAGAGGAATGGATCATGACCCTACCAGATTTCCAATCCTCCCAACATACCCTCCTCTGTGATTTGCAGTGGAGCAGCACCTCTACCGTCTGCCTTGCAGCTTCAATGTTAGAAGCTTTAGAGCTTTACTAGGATTGTGATCTGTATTAGGTAAAAATACCAGCCATTTTCCTCACCAGCTGTGATGAGATAGGAGCTGATTTGCTACATCAGTAGCAAATGAGAGCTGGGAGAGCTTTCATCCCAGATGGGGTGTGGCCCAGGTGTGACCTACCTGAATCTCCTGAGTCCTCAAGACACTTGTAAAAACTCATTTTAAACATTTTAGTACTTTTAGGACAGGGTAACAGAGCATCCACTTTTTTTCCTCCCCTCCTCATCCCTTCTCCATCTTTCCTCATGCTCCCTCTGAGCAGAACGGGAACATCTCCCATTTGAGGGAGTGTCTCCAGACATGTGGAATGCCTACAGTCAGCAACAACAGGAGGTCAGTGCTCAAAGCCATTATGGATGCTTGAGTCAGTGCTTGGCTTTCAAGGTGAAACCTTCCTGTAGGCACTAATCCCACTCTTCTTGGCCCAGCTGCTCACAACCCCATACCCAAGTGATGCTGTGCTTGTCGCACATCACCTTTACTTAATCCTTGCCAAAAGCTGGAAGAACGTGTGAGAGCAGGCAACCTGCCGTCATGGTAAGTTTTTACAAGCCCTAAGTTGCAACACCCAGGCCAGCTCTGAAAGAGGTAGCATCCCTGATCCTCGCACCCTAATCCTCTTCCTAAAGTTATTTCAGCACTGAGGAACACTAAAGCTGAATGTCTGCATGGTCTTTGACAACAAGACTGCTGCATTGGATGATATAACCCAATGAGCTTTTGGTGCAGAGATTTAACACCTTTTAATATTTAGAGATTAGAGATTCATTTTTTCAGAATCAGCTGTCCCCATCCCACCAGGTTCTCCTAGTTGGGACATGCTCCAGGAAGGGACATTCAATTTGGATGGATAAACAGTAACAGTTGCCAGCAGAAGAGATTAACTGTTAAGGTGAAAAGGTTGTCCACAAAGCTGTGCTGAATGATTGCAGTGAAACCTGAGATTCAGATACTGACCTTCAAACCCAGGTGAGCACAGGAGGAAGCACAACTCATGTTGGTTTGGAAATGTACCATTTCCTCACAAACAGGGACCTGGGTTCAAGAGATCAGCTTTGAAACAAAATGCTTAATAGCATTAAAACAAGGTGAAATGTTGGTTGGTTAAATGCAAATGTACAGCTGATGAACCTATCCAACATCACTTCTAGACCAGTGCAATGTAACTTCTCCAAAAGGCACTTTGCAAGCCTAAATTTTCCACAGTTACGGGTATTTAAGGGCAGCATTTATGAGAAACAGATGAATTTTGAAAAACTTCTTTTACTTATGTTGTCTTCCAAGGTGAAGGGAAGGAGATGAGAGAGGTAGCTGTTGTTTTCTGATAAGAAACTTTACTACATTTGAAGTTTTGAGTCCTCTGTGTGTGCAGACTATTCCCTACCACAGCTGATCCAACACCTCACCACCCCAGCAAAACACAGTGCCTGGGCATTTGCACTTAGAATCATAGAATCGTTAGGGTCGGAAAGGACCTTAAGATCATCTAGTTCCAACCCCCCTTCCGTGGGCAGGGACACCTTACGCTAAAAATACGCTTGCCACCATGCCTCTGCCCGAGTGAAGAAGTCAGTCCAAAGTGTTAGGTTTGGGGACCAGAGGAGTGAAGGGTAAATGGAAACACATACATCATTATTCACATGGCTAAAATGTACCCAGGAGTTTCCTATGACTCGCATGCTTGCCTTCCTTTATATACGTATATATATATTACATTTTTAAATAAAGCCTGGCAGCAGCTCAGACCTAGGATTAAAATAACCGCTTTGTGTCATCCTAAGGCAAGAGCAGAGGGCACCTCTATGCTTTAGCAGCTGCTCTGCCCCTGCTGCTGGCACAGACTGCATGAGGTCTGGCTCCTCCTGGACAAGCAGGAGGCAGGAAACATCTTTTTTCACAGCCATTCTTTGGAGACACTCTTGCAGCTCTTCCCTCAGACTTTTCAAACCTTTTGCTTGGTTTGAAAAGCTTAGTTTGGGAGGTTTTTAAAACCAGCTGCCTGTCCTAACATCAGTGGTAATAACCTGTGCTACAAACAAGTTCATACGGAGAAGGTCCATTTTAAGTGTTACCATTAGACTGTAGGAGCTTTCAGTTCACCCCAAAAAAGTTACGAAACTTGCAGTTAAAGACCAGCTTCTCTAGGACTGCTATTGCAAATGAATCTGGCTTTTCATTTAGAAATAGATTTAATTCCCCAACTATGAGGGCCTCAGTGTTTGAGAACAAGAACTCAATGTTCACAAACCAGTAAGCAAATGCAGACCCTGAGGTTTACTTGTATTAAAAAAAAAAGGGGGGGGGGGAAGATCTAAAAAAAAAAAGGTACGACTAAGGTCTGACTCATGATTTTCAAGTTCTTAGAGGTAGTGAATTTAGTAATTCTGTAGTCTCTTGTGCACTGGGGCTTTCATGAGTTTCTTCGCACAGAAGAAACAGAAATTTCACACAAACTTCTCAACCCCATAGCCATACTACAAGGAAATCTGTTTCAGTAAGAAGCAGGGTCAATAGGTTTGCTTTGCAGTAGATACCACTGCTCCTTGCCTGTGCTTTGTTATTACAATTCATGCTGTGGGCCATCTCCATTCCCCACAGCTTGGCACTCTCCAGAGTATGGTGTGCTGTGCCTGCAAGTTGACAAGGCTGCTTTATGATCTATGGCAGCTGGTTTTAATTAAAGCTGCCTCCTTTGCATTGCTTCTAGCCTTGTGTGGACAGAAACACAAATTATTTCATCTTCTCTGATCCACAAGATGCCAAGCTCACAATTACAAGTTGTCATTAATAAGGAAGCTTCTACCACCACTCCCACTGGCTCAAGCAGCATTGGAAGAGAGCTAAGAAGATATACAGCTTTGGCAAACTAACCCTCCACTTCCCTACACCGACTAAGCAGAAAACTGATTAAGCACATTATCTTCAAACCTCCCCATCTCAAAGAGCTCCTGGAGGGAGCCCAAGCAAAGCACTCATTTGCAGTCACCTTCAGGCAGCAGACAGTTTTTGTCCTTTGAACTAATGAGACAGATCCCAGTCAGGAAAATACAGTGTTTCTCACCTGTGGAATTCCATCCTTAATTCATACTGACACCTTCTGTGTGTGTGTGTGTAGGAGTGCAGTTACACCTGCAGTCACTCCTCCACAGGTGGGACTGAGGACATTAATGGGCCTTGATTGCCCTGACCACTCTCACCTGTCTGCCCAAAAGCTGCCAGGCCATGGCTGAGCTGTGCCATGGGTTTTCCTCCTGACTTGCTGCCATTGCAAGCTTCCTGTCGTGCAAGCTTCCTACATTGACCTTAGCCTGGACCTGCTGCTCTGCATGATCATGGGGCTGTTGAAAACCTGTTGCTGTGGGCACCTGGCCCTGTCACCTCACTTGGGTGCAGGTGGTCAGTGTGGGTACCCTTAACTGCTGGCACATGTCCTCTCCTGGGGCAGCCTACTGCTGCTGCCTGACATCAGCTGAGGCCATCTCAAGCAGTGAGATGAGTACTGTGAAGCCTGTGGCCCCCCATGAAGCTCCAGGGGCTTCAGAGGGTCCCCCAGGCCCCTGAGAAGGGGCAGCATGGGGTGTCAGGGGGAGCTGTCTTAGGGCCACCCCACAGGCACCTCAAGTCATGTTTTCCCTTGCCCCCCCCCCCCCCCCCCCCATTTACTGGTCCAGGCATCCTGGGAATCTCACCTCCTGCCATCTAAGCTAGTCACATCTGCTATGAGCCCCAAGGTGGAAGACCCCAAGCTGCCTGGTGGATTTGGGGGGGCCTGAAGTCCATGCTGTTGAGGCAAAAGTGGTGTTTTGCTTTCCTGACCAACACTGATATCACTTGTGGAGGTCGGGAAAATAGCAGGCAGTTCTTGCACAAAGCCAGGCTCAAACAAGTTTTACATGGGCACAGAAGTCCTACCTCATGTTCTCCTCACCCTTATGCTATTTTTACAGTATGCAAGGTTCAAGCAAACCATTTTATCTTCAAAGGATGGAGGAGAAAAACAAAACAAAAAAACACGAACAAACTCTTGACCCTGTATTGCAGGTGGAGAACTCAAACAATTGAACCTTGCTTTTAGGATCACCTTTGGAAGAGACAGTATTTGAACCTTGTAGCACCAAACCATTGACAGATAACATTCTTGTTTACAGAGTAGGAGGTTGTCTTCTTCCCTGTAGGAAAGCAGAAGACAGGGCTGCTGACAGCCTTCCTCAGCCATCAGCTCATTTCGCCCAGCCTCCCTGTGCTCCAGGGCTCCTAAACTTTACATAGGAAGCACCAACGCTACAGTCAACTCAAGATTCTGTTGAGGGTCATGGTGGAAGATATCATTCTGCTGAAGTTAGGGCAGACTGATAATGTTCGGTAATAAGACACCTTACTACTCACACAAACGTGAATAAAGAACATTAACCTTTGAAGTCCTGGAGCTGATGATTAAGCTTTATGGTCACTTCAGGATAGCAGGCAGTTTCATCTTTTTAATGTGTGGGATGTGTAGTGTCTTATTTCTTGTATGTCTCCAATGTTGTCATAGAAGCAAGTAACATATTTTTTTGATACAGATCTACTTTGGTACATCCCAAGCTGGTACATTTTGTGCTTAGTTTCTGTCTCCAGAGGACAAGAACAGCAATCTCAAACCTATCTGAACTTTAAGGATATAGTAGCATGCTGTGCATTTTGAAAGGATCTGTGGTACCAAACTAGAGTCAACAGATTCAAACTGCAGGGAGTGGGTGGTTGTACCAGACAATGATGCTGCTTAGTTGATTTTGACTGTTAATACAAAAGTAAAACAATTAGTATATGTATTTTTAGAGAGAATTTGTACATTCAGCCTTTAATGTTGATAGGAGGCAAATACTCTTCAATACCACAACTGACCTGGAATTTGACTCAAAACAAGCCCAATTCCATGCTTGGACTTTATTCTTTTCATGTAAAGAATAAAAAACTACATAAAACTGAGTGCAGTTCTGAAATATTTTCCTCTTGTGGAAATCAAAGTGCTGGTCTGAATCCACTTGGATTCAGATCCAAAGACAGGCTGGATCCAGATTCAGCCAGGTTGGATGGGCTTTGAGCAACCTGCTCTACTGGAAAGTGTCCCTGCCCATGTCAGAAGGGGTTGGAACTGGATGATCGTTAAGGCCCCTTTAAACCCAAATCATTCTGAGATTCTATGGTTTAATTCCCAGGCTCTGTATTCAGTTTACTTGCACTTACGGCACTTGGTGATCCCACAATATCATAATTCAAAGCTGGGCACTTGAAACAGAGTACCTGAGCTTGAGTTCTGCTTTAGCCAGCATCTACCTAGGGCCTACCCCATCAGGGTAAGCAGAGCACATTTATCTACTGAAAGGAATTCAATCTGCAACCACTCAGCTCAATCCTTAATTTCACAGGGAGAATGACCTCCAAGGAGATTACAGTTTTGAACTTTTTACCAAAGAGGCTGTCTTACAACCTGTTTCACCATGAGCATCCATTAATTCATATTTACTTTGTCTGTTTAGTAAAGCTGGTTAACTGTGAAGCTTGTTTCAAAGATAAGCCTTCTAAGAAGGTTTATCTACAAGACTCTAGACTTCTAATCAGCTCTGGGAAGGTGCACCTCATTAGACTCAGCTGGAAGACAGGGTCCTGGTGTTTCAGCTTGGGAACCAAACCCTTCAGCTTTGTTCAAAGCTTGATGTTGTGATGACTGAACATGAGCATTTCTGCTAGTTGCCTAGCAGGAATTGCATAGCATGTTCTCTGTATCGTAGCTGAGGGAACATTTTCCATTGCATTTGGAACTTCAATCTATGTCTCTAACAAGGCACGTCACTTAAAAGTACAGAACTGTGTCCCATGTCAAAGAAAAAATAGCCACCAGGAGATAAAGTAGCATTCAAAGCTATCTCAGAACCAAATGTTTTTCTTCCCAGAGAAATCAAAATCCAGAATAAATAAGTCTGCTAGCCTAAACACAGAGCTCCATGCAAAATTCATACAAATTGAGCTTCGTGGGTCCCCTTCTTTCTCACCCAGGTACTCTGTGTGAAAGCATCACAGGCTGGTCCAACCTCCTTCACCAGGAACATCCCTTCATCCTGCACAGCCATGTCTCAGAAGGCGATGAATGGAGAAATTGTCCCTCTCTAGAGGTAGCAGGGCACTGTATACAAATTGTAGGCCATTTGCTCTGAGCTTTGCCTAACCAGATATTTGCAACCCAGCCTCAGCTCTCTACCTCATACCTTCAGGAAGACTCTCGTTCCCCTTCCACACCATTGCCTATGCTCGGTGGTGTCTCTGCAGGAATTTACCGAGCTGTGCAGTCTCTCTGTGGGTTTAGCCTGGGAAGAGCCAGCAGCCCCTACTGCTTTCATCCAATCCCTGGCAGTAGTCCCTCCCTGCATAGCTCTGGTTTCTGCTCATCTCTCCTCACATGCCTCTGCCCTCCCCGTGTGTGCAGAGGCTGTCCTGACAGTTCCACATGGCACCAGAAGGACCTGCTTGCCCAAATCACCTTTTTCTGCCAGAAGAGAGAAACAGCACGCATTGGCCCTTGCAGGGTGGCCAGGGACCTCCCATCTCTGGATGCAGCCTGGCATCACCTCTGCCTGCAGTAGCTTCTGGGTGAATCCAAACTCAGGTAAAGCTGCTCTTGCTTTTTCCAGGGGAAACAGGCACAGATTTTCGCTTGCCAGTACAATTATTTCATATAATCTGTCAAACAGGCTTTTGTGTTTCCCTGTGACACAGAAGATGATGATCAGGGCTCTTGTGGAGTTACAGATGACATCTAAAGCCTCAGGGTATCACTGTGCTCTCTGGCAGCAGCAGCTTTGGGCTGCAGCCTGAAAAGCCTCCTATGTGATTCACCAGAGTGACCCAGGGGGGCAGCAAGCAGCCCTCTGGTAGCAAAGCTGCCTTTTTGCTTATATGAACTAGCAGCAATCGCATAGCAAAAGCCATGTGCTTCAGTGCAACCAAAGGACAGTTATAGTTTGCATTTTAGCAAACTAAACTTTGATTCTCCAAATAAATCTTTCTCAGGTCCAACCTTCAGGTTTATCTTCAGTGAGGATTCTTCCATCTCCATCCTACATAAAAATAGATGGAAGGGGTAAAGATGAAGCCAGGCTCTTCTCAGTGGTTCCAGGACAAAAGGCAACAGACACAAAATAAATATATTCTACCTAAACATAAGAAAAACTTCTTTGCTGTGAAGGTGGATCAACAAGGCAACAAGCTGTCAGGAGAGATTTTAGAGTCTCCATTCCTGGAGAAATTCAAGCACTGTCTGGATGTAGTCCTGGGCTACCTGATACAGCTGGTCCTCCTTTGAGCAGGAGGGTTAGATTAGACACCTTCAGAAGCATCTGGAGAGATATCCACCCTCAACCGTTCTGTGATCTGGTCATCTCAGTTCTGTGATCTGGTCATCTCATTCAAAAACATCATTGTAACTCTCTTGAAAGGAGTTGCCAACACACTTCCGTTGCATGGAAAACATGGTCATCCTTTCACAGCCTTTTTAGCTGAAGTTTAGGAAAAATCTTGTCTATTCAAGGAGGCAGCATAACCAGGATCCTTTCCCTGACACTTAAGCAAAGTTTTCCCTAAATTTTCCTAAAGCTGCCTAGTTTGTAGCTCCATTTTGCTTTTTTTTTTTTTTTTTCAGAAAGTCCCAATATTTTTCCATTTTTATTTTCCCGTGTGTGGCAGAAAGCAGAAATCAGAGAGGATGAAAGCCAAAGATGGGAGAACCAGGAAGCAGCTTCAGAGTCACTGAGTTACCTCTGGGTTGCTGTCACATCCATTATTCATTACAATAACCTTCTGCAGACTAATGAACACGTGTCCTATTAGTCCTGCAATCACCATGGGGAAAATAAAAAGCTTTGGACAGTTCTAGGAAGGGTCTCAATTCCAAGCCAATTTTATATCACAGCCTATTTTTGGTCAACACTTCCTGTTCGGGTTCTCCTCAGAACTGCTGTTATGGGAAATATAATTTCTTTCTTATAAATGACCATTTCTTGTTGCCTGCAGCTCATATTCTGGGTGGTAAAAGAGGAGGCCTGGGAGTCTTATCACAGTCAGGGTGAAATTTAGACCTCAGCCTCAGAGAGTTCAGTAGGGCCAGAATTACTGAGATCTCTTTTCAAACAAAAATATGTATTTGGGAAACCTTATTCAGGATTCTATTCACTCATGTTTCAACATTGGATACTCTTTATTTGCTGCTGGTAACATTGTTTTTTCCTTACAAAATAGTTTTTTAGCAAAATAAAGACTCAAGTCATTGTTTTGCAAAACTAGCTGACCTTGTCTTCATTAACGGCGTTTCAAGGCAAACAACATAACCTCATATTAAGCGAAACAATGAGCATCCTATAAATAAAAAGGAGCTACTGCTAAATTTCACATGTTCAGCTTTAAACTTAAAGATTTCCATGGGAGTAAGAGGTCATTTAACTGACTATATTTATCTCTTTAAAATTAACAGAAAGGAAAAAATAGGCCCTTTTGCCCTCGAACTGGAACAGAAGTTCAGGATGACAAGTGATGCTGGCAGGGCTGGGTAGGGTATGGCTGCATCCGAGGCCCCTCACAGTTCAATATGCTGGCACTGTCCTGGGCTCTGATATGCTGTGACCATCAAACTGGAAAATGACATTCCTCTCATGTCCTGAGTCATCTCATAGTCTCCATGAGATGTAAAAAAGAAACCCAAAACAAAAAAAAACAACCCACCTAAAAATAGTGTGCTCAGTGTTTCCTGTCAGTTCCTGGCATGTGAATAATAACAACTTCAGAAGAAAAATACTCACCATTTGTTTCCAGAAGCCCTGGGGAAGGGAGACATGAAATCTGGGAGTGACTCAGAGGTTCTCCTAGAAAATGGCACTTGTCACATATCCAGATACTCCACTGATCCAAGGAGCTCCTACTAGTGAAGGGTTGAGCCAATACTTCAGCCCTTTACCTGCATTCTGACCTCTATTTGCAGGGATGACTGCTATGGTTATCCATAATAGGATCTGTCTTTGTGCTGAAATGAAAATAGACTCTTATGCTATTTTGATGTTCCTGCTCTCCTCTGCTCTTTTGGTCCTGCTTGGTTGTAACTAGGCAGAGGCTGGAACACCTCTGTAGAGAAACAAGCATGAAGCCTACTGAAGCAAAGGATTGCTGAACTGAGGTTACCATGAGCTGGGTGGCTCAAATGCCACCCCAAACCAACGCTCTACAAAAGGCTGGTTTTGTCTCTCTAATCAGACATGTTTGGACACTGAAGTGTCCCAAACACTAGAGCAACTGACAATGAAGTTGTTAGGAGGTGGATACTGTTTTGGTAAACCTGTTTTTGGTGCTATAATCCTTCTTCACCTGTAAATTTTGACTGAGCATGACCTCAGTTGCAAACCCAAAGCAGCATACCATGAGTCACTGGGAAAACAGTCAAGGGAATGAGAACCATGACATGGACTCTCTTTGAAACTAGCTACAAATGCAAGCAAAAGCAGAAAAAAAGGAAGCAGTGAGCTTGACAATCTCAGCCCTGAGAAGAGTCAGGGAGCAGCAGGGACCCAGAACACAAGCCTTACACTCCTTGCTGGCAAACAGCACGATGGGGTTTTCAGAAGTACCGCTGGTAAGTCTGTCCTCCTGCCTGCAGGAACGCATGGGCATCCTATTGCTGCCTCTATCTGTGCTTCCGTGGCCTGGAAAACCCACAGTAAGCCAGGTCAGATAAGTGGTTAGGTCTTCTTGCCTGGGTGGGCTCAGCATCATTACTGCAAGGGTGAAGCTGAGAACATTGAGCATGCCCCATCCACCTTCTCTTCCGGTTGAGTCTATCATGCACTTCTGCTAATGAGCAACACCTCCTGCAGCCTAGCCACTGGTCATCATCACTAGGAACAGCTGAGTTTTGTTTCCAGTTTTTATCTAGGAAAAGGGATCTACTGAACAAAAGCCATCAGCTATATTCTTTGATCATCTCCAGACTAACTCCCATGGCACAATTTTAATTGCTAAATTACAGTCACCAGCTCAGATCTGTCCCAGGGACTGTGAAACCTAAGGACACTTTTTTTTTCTTTTTTTCTTTTATTTTTCTCATGAAGAAATGCTTGCTGTACTGGGCAGATGTACAACAGAAATGCAGTGCCTCAGGCACCCAGAAGCAAGTGGAAAAAAAAAAGAAGTACATACCCACGTCATGCCAAGCTTCATCAGCCTGTAAATAGCAGCGATGGCTCTGAAGCTCCCAGGGGAACATGGCAAATAAATACTCCTTTCCCTGACTACCACAGGTCTAAAACACAGCAGCTGAAGGTCCCACTGTGGGGCAAGGTTCCGCTGTGAGGCTGCAGATGAGGCTCTTGTGTTTGAGGTTGCTCACTGTCATTTGGAAGGAATTTGTTCCACCAATGGAAACTTTTGTGGCTAAAGCAGTTAGAGAGCAAAAAGCCAATTAAACTCCTGCCTTTCCCTATGGGAGTAAACTTAGAAACATGACTTAGATGCATAATTTAGAAATCCAAGATAAAAATCAAACAACTGCTTCCCCCAGAGCTTTTTTATGATTATTGCTTACTGGGACAACTACATGGTCTAAGTGCCATGTTTTGAACGTGGACTTTTCTGGTTAAGCTATGAAACTCACTAAGTGTGATGTCTTACCATGTAATTAGTCCTTTCCAGACAGACTAAAAATCTAGTGAAGCAGGAAAGAATAGGATGTGGATTGCAAAGCATCTTTGTGCACGCAGACTTTGTCAATGAATAATTTCCGTATTATGGTATGATGAAACCTTTGGCTACTAATTTGTCAAGTTATTTTTGACGAAAGGATATCAGTGGATGATAAAGTTGAAAGTGCTGATCTACCAGAGGAGCTGTATTTGTGTATGGACAGTGAAAACTAATTTACCACTAATTTCACCTCAGTCTAAACTAAATAAAAATTAATGCCATAGTCTCATTTCATCCTAGACTGGCTTCTAGTAGAGAGCTCTGAGTAATTCAGGAGAAAGCCTCTCTCCTGTTCAAAAACAGTTCTCAGCACCACCAGCCACTTCAATGTGCACAACCCCAGCTCCTTGCTTCTCTAGCAGACATTGCCCAGCTGGGGCTGCAGGGAGAGCAGCACTCTACAGGTACGGGAGGACTGTCATGTAAAAATGACATTTCTGTCTTCTGGTTAGGCACCTCCATGTGATAAAGGGAAAAGGTAAAAACCAGCTCTGCATGTGCATCCTTCTTCAGTATGTTAGGAATAAACCCTGTTGGTTAATGCAATGCTTCGTCGCTGCAGATAAAAATCTCTCCTACTGAGTGAGGTTTTGGTTAACAAGAACAGTTATAGAAATTTATGCATACAGTGCTGTGGCATAGCCCCAGCCAGCAGCTAAGCACCACACAGCCACTTGCTCACTCCCCCCTTCAGTGGGATGGAGAGGAGAATCAGAACAGTAAAAGTGAGAAAACTTGTGGGTTGAGATAAAGACAGATTAATAAATAAAACAAAAGCTGCACATACAAGCAAAACAAGAAATTTGCTACTTCCCATCAGCAGGCAGGTGTTCAGCCATCTCCCGGAGAGCAGGGCTCCATCACATGTAATGGTTACTTGAGAAGACAAAACACTGTCACTCCAAATGTCATCCCCAGCTTCCTTCTTCTTCCCACAGCTTTACATGCTGAGCCTGGTATCATATGATATGGGACATCCCTTTGGTCAGTTGGGGTCAACTGTCCCTCCCAACTTCTTGTGCCCCTCCTTACTGGCAGAACATGAGAGACTGAAAAGTCCTTGGTCAGGGTAAGTGCTACTGAGCAATAACTGAAACATTATTGTGTTATCAGCATTGTTCTCAGACTAAAGCCAAAACACAGCACTGCACCAGCTACTAGGAAGAAAATTAACTCTATCCCAGTCAAAACCATCACATCGGACAGATGCAAATTAATCCTGAGACACTTTTCTGCTCCATCCTATTCCTTGAGCACCTCTTCTGATGTAGAAGTTTCCTGGAAACAGAGTCTCAAGAGCATATTGGGATGTACTGGAGTATCTTGAGTCACATTTTGTACTGGGGTACAACAACAGTAAGGCTCCCCAGTCATTTCCATCATGCTCTCACATACTGTCCCAGCTTTCAATAAGAAAATCTTGAAACCTTGGCATTTTGAAGACTTGATTGAGATCCTAGGGATTGAGATCCTCCCCAGGATTCTGGGTACAGTTATTAACTTGTTCTGTTTCTAATGTTCAAGAACATTGTTGTGACTTCACTGGCCAAGACAGGCATAATGGAAAAAATGGTGCACAGCCGTTGTTCCATCTCTTGAGGGTTAAAACAGGCAAATGACTTGAAGGTAGAAGGTAAGAGCAGAAGTTTGTGAACTGGATCATGCAAAAGCTCTTGCTGGTTTTCATTTGCACCCCTTGAACAGATGGATGAGTTTCTTCCCCAGCATAACAATTTTCATGCCAAGCTCTTAAAATGATTGTTGTAACATCTAAGCTACCTACCCAGTTATCTGCACATGTCCACACAATTAGAAGTGCTATCAGCCTCACTGGGACCCAACGAGGACACCCCAGCCAGGACATGGAAGCCATGGAAGGATTGCTGCCAAGATACTTTCCAGACAATTGGCTCCCAGCACATACTGGTGCCTTGTTCCTCCCCAGGGGCAGGATTTTGCAGTTCCTGTTGAGCTTCATGTGGCTCCTGCTGGCCCATTACTCCAGCCTGTGGAGGTCCCTCTGGATGGCAGCACAGTCATCCAGTCCGTCAACCATTCCTCCCACCTTTGTGTCATCTTCAGGTATTAAACAGGATTTGCCCCAGTATTCACCTCTGCAGTACACCACTACTGACTGGCATCCAGCTAGACTTTGTGCTGCTCATCCTGTACCCTTTGACACCCATGATAAAATCACCCATGCCAGGCTGCTCAGAAATCTTGACCCACAAGCTCTCAGCTGCCTCATCACTCATCCCAGGACATTTCTCTGTCCATTCCCTCTGCCCTCTCACACAGAGCAATTCCTCATCCTGGGCTATCCTTCACAAACACCCTCCAGTTGACTGAACTATCCCACTATGCTTCTATCTAAGTGGCCCATCAACCATAACCATCTACTCCACAAATGCATGTGGCAGAAATCTGGGCAGCACACTGAAGGATTTCAGCCTTGTTGGTGGTCCAGGTAGGCTCTAATGAGCATGGGAGGGGATTTCAGGGTATGGTGGGGAGCTTGGGTTCCTTCTATAACACCTGAAAACTTGCACAAACATCAATGTTAAATTGATGCTGTTAGATTTAAAAATCCAAGCGCTTCAGAATTGCCA